CTGAACAGGGCTCATAGGGGTGACATAAGAGCATTTTAGGGAAGCAGTTTTGTTTCCTTTTAGTAGTTTGCCTGGCTTTGTATTTCAGGATTAGAAACAGCTCCTGCTCTTGGGGAGAGAGAAGTGAAGGGAAAAGCAGGTCTTTTGCCAAAGTGAAATCCTTGAGGCAAAGGGCTGGGTTTCCCTTTACACTGTCAATCAATGATCAGCAGCACAGGAAATAATGGGAGAAAAAGAAAATGTAAAAGCAAAGCCCTGGCCTTTAACAATTCCCCTGCCCTGCTGGCTGTGTCCTGTGGAGAGATCCTGAAAGCAGATGTTGTCCTGCTGAGACAGCAGGGCTGGGAGGGCCGGGGTGTGCAGGCTGGCCCTGGTTACAGCAGCAGAGACTTATGTCTGATCACAATCTCCCAAATAGGTTCAAACTCCAGATTGCAGAACGATTTACTGTGAAACTCCACTTTAAAAGCTGTGTAAATCCAGCTTTTTTCTTTTTTTTTAATGTCTGTGTGAGGTCCCTCTACACACCCAGATCCAGTAACTGTCATTTTGAATAATCTCTTCTGCCATGAGGGATGAGGATTTCTGAACATATTCACATGTTTCTGAGGATGCCTACCTACATTTTAATAGGTTAAAGATGCCCTAATTTCCATGAGTAAAATGCAGAAGGATAAAGAGGCTGGACATTTCTGCCAGGCTCCCTGGCTAAGCTGGTGCCTGGCCCTGTTGTGCCCTTGGCAGTTACCATCTTCATCCTGCCCTCATCAGTCTCTGCTCGGTGTCTCAACAAGGACACTGAGTCACTTTTAGATCACTGCTACTTATTACCTAAGTACCAAGAAAATTAATCATAGAATGATCAGATGGTTTGGGTTGGAAGGGACCTTAAAGATCATCAAGTTCCAACCCTCCTGCATGGGCAGGGACACAGTCAAGATAATTAATAGCAGAGGAAAAAGGCTGATGTGTCTTTAGCTCACACCTACATCAGTGAAAGAAAAGTCACATGAAAGAGAGGAAGATGATCCAGTTCCCTTTATTTCAGTGACCTTATTAAAAGGAAGTACCATTTATGAATTAATTGAAATTTTAGGAGTTAGTAACCATCTCAGTCTACCTCAGTGCCAGATGCTTGATCTGCAAAGTCATGAACCACAGAGGATCTAAAGATCAGGTGTTTGTCACAGGGAAGGAAAGACCCGCAGCCCCTCTCCCGGGGCTGTGTTGCTCACGGTTGTTCTAGCAAGAGGCTGGGTTGCAATTTCTGCCATTTCTAATTGACATCGATTCTGTCTAAGTTGAAATTGCATCCTCTGAGCTGTGTTTCCCTTTTCCATTCACAAAAGCATGCAGACATGTTTGCCCGTGTCCTTCGGAACGAAGGTGGCCCTGGGCAGAGTGAGGGGGCCGAGCCCGAAGTGCCCGGTTCTGTGGGTGTGTGGGGACATGGTGGGGATGAGCTGAGCTGCACAGGGGGAGAGGGGCAGTCAGGGGCCTCTCCTGTGACCCCTGGGACATGGAGGCCAGGGCAAGAGGACACCAAGGGAGGGCTGCCAGGCTGATGAGAGGAGTAAAAGCCGTGTCTGAAAGAGATGGGTGTGTTTAGTGAAAGGAGGGCTTGGGGAAAATTTTGGTGTTTATTACTTATAGAACCACAGACTGGTTTGGGTTGAAAGGGACCTAGTTCCAACCCCCTGCCATGGGCAGGGACACCTCCCAGCAGCCCAGGTTGCTCCAAGCCCCATCCAACCTGCCCTTCAACCCTTCGAACGAAGGTGGCCCTGGGCAGAGTGAGGGGGCCGAGCCCGAAGTGCCCGGTTCTGTGGGTGTGTGGGGACATGGTGGGGATGAGCTGAGCTGCACAGGGGGAGAGGGGCAGTCAGGGGCCTCTCCTGTGACCCCTGGGACATGGAGGCCAGGGCAAGAGGACACCAAGGGAGGGCTGCCAGGCTGATGAGAGGAGTAAAAGCCGTGTCTGAAAGAGATGGGTGTGTTTAGTGAAAGGAGGGCTTGGGGAAAATTTTGGTGTTTATTACTTATAGAACCACAGACTGGTTTGGGTTGAAAGGGACCTAGTTCCAACCCCCTGCCATGGGCAGGGACACCTCCCAGCAGCCCAGGTTGCTCCAAGCCCCATCCAACCTGCCCTTCAACACTGCCAGGGATGGGGCAGCCACAGCTTCACTGGGCAGCCTGGGCCAGGGTCTCACCTCCCTAACAGCAAAGAATTTCTCCCTAATATCCAACATTTACATGCCTGGTGGGTCCCAGCGAGGGAGAACAAGCTCCCAGGCTGAGGTGAACAGTGTCACAGGAGGAGGTAGCTATATCTGAGCCACAAGTGGTTTAGTGGGAGAGGAGGGGAAGGGGCTGGTCTCTGTCACCACAGGACGGGCAGCCCAGGAGAGGGGCTGGGGGTCAGGACAGGGCTTTGTGCATGGTCTGGTGGGACAGAGGTTACCGTGAAGTCCATGAGTGAGGTGTGGGGATGTGGTCTTCCTAATGCTGGGATTAAGGATCTGACAGCTCTGCCATTCTCCTTGAATGTGAAGGAGGAGCCTGGTGGTGCTCCCAGTGCTGGCAGATCCAGGACCTGCTCCCGCAGCCTGGGTCTGGGGCTGATTTTTCAAGGCTGTACTTAGCTGGGTGTGATGGCTGCTCCAAGGGGTCTGTGGTTTC